CGTCTCTTTTTTTGATATAGATAAAAAGAAATGTACATGCATAAAGCTTTTACATGCCCCTACAGACAGGAGCATACACGTGCAAAGCAATCTTTACCATTTAAAGCTACTGAATACGTTTTGTTCTGCAGGGATGGGCAAACAGACTCAATTTGAGATGCAGCAGAAGGAAGAAGATAAGGCAGAAAAGTTTAATGACTACGTAGCCTTTACGATCCTTAATAAACGCTGCTGTTCACATCTGCGTTACGTAAGAAGCAAATCTATTCTGGAGGTTTGAATCCATAACCCTGAAAGAACCTCACACAGAGCCTATCTTTGCGTCCGGGTCAACACTAATTAACTCCCTAACTGAGAAACAGAACATGACAAGAGCTCCTTAAGCAAAAGTTTCCCATGGATGTGTGTTCTGCCTCTACACTGTCATTCCTGCCTTCTTCCTGCTCAACCTAAAGGTCTGCCAAATCACTCCCTCCTGGAAACACAATAAGAAGTCATTAGTTTCATTCGCTGATTTAGTCAAACAGTGATGACACTGGATGCCAGTATCGCTTCAGCCATGTGTTGATGGTTTCAAGTCTTTTGGGAGGAATTCAAACCAGGAGTTAAAAATTAGTGTCTGACATTTCTCAGCCACCACACAAGTGTCTGCGAACATGCTGATCGCAAGTCTTCACGTGGCCAGGATTTGTGTAATAAAATGGGCTGTTTTACCACAGACAACACACAGCGAGATGGCTGGAGCACCAAGGTCAGCATGTGAGCAGTGATGGAAGAGAGCACATGAAAATGGCTCAGTGTCAAGGACATTATGTCGTGTAATTGATGATGATGTGCTGTCTGTTTTGTCACACTCAGGTGGGACATGCACACATCCCAACTACACCCAGCTGGATGTATTAAGTCAGTAGCTCACCAGCACAGCTGCCCTCTGTCGGAATCACAGCTGAGCCATGTGTATCTCACCTGATACCCGAGTCATGGTTATTGACTCCATAATCTTTTCATTCTTAACCCACTGAAGACTGATTGAAGACTGTCCTTCAACTGTGCACAATCTTTCAATCCACATTAATGTGCCTGCATCGATCGGCTGGACAGGTTTTATTTTACAGCACTTACATATATTTTGCAGGACTCTCTAAGGCGGTGTGAGCTCCCATTAGGAGAACTATTTTAGAAATCCAGAACCTGCTTGTTATTCATCCAGATGTACAATGGACATGAAGCTTAGCTCACACTGAAAGCTGTAAACAACAAAACAGAGACAAGACAGAGCGCTAGCACAGTCTGAATGAAAACGTGCTTTTCCATGAATGAGGAAATGAAGGAGGCATAGTAC